ATGATCTGAAATGAAGAAGCAACTGATTTTCAAGCAGTTTTCAACATTTTACTCAACTTACGAATACAGTCCTCCACGCAGACACAAATGGCGCAAATGGAGAATTCTGGAATCGACCCCGGCACCATTTGATGCAGTAAAACAACCCAACATGACTTTATGTAGTTTTCGCATCCACGATCAAATTTCTTTCCTGTTATAAAACTACGATAAGACTGCTGAAAAACGGAATAAATATATTACTGATCTCAACATAATACATCAATAAACTTTAAGCCAAGGGTGCTGTTCACAACAAAGTTATAAAGGAGAATTGACTTTAAGCTGTTTTTCCCAGATATCTGTATGCGAAGACAATATTTCTATATCTCTTTATGTGTTACACGAACAGCAGACTACCGCCAGTCATAACGCTACAGTGTGACATGCCAGTGATGCTTAACACGTGTCCATCTGCCGTTTGAACTGTTTACGAACATGGTTTGTCGCTATAATATAGATTCTTATCCATTATTGAGGCTGCCGTCTCTGTATCTATTAAACATACTGTTTCTCAGCCATTCACTGGCAACTCAGAATACATTACCCTCCTCTCAATAGCGCCCACTACTTCTTGTCTGTTTATGCGAGAAGGGAAACATATTACAGTGCTTTGAATTGGATTTTTCTCCTGCTCTCTGGGTAGCACCTCCTCCAATGTTCAGCTTTGCTACATTGAAGTCATCAGTCAATCCTGGCACTCATTGGTGGTGTCGCTACTTCCCGTTGCAAATCTTTAGTTTTCTGTTCCCAGTCACTCTATCTCGGTGACTCTGTTTCGAGCACCATTATTCTCACCAGATACCTGGTTACCTCTGCCAGCTCACCGATGTCCATGTGTTGTTCAGCGTTTATCAGTTGAAGTTGCTGAGGTATGTTTTCTGGGACACTGTCACTGAAATGGAACGTCAGTGACAGCTACCCCGACTCTTCATCCAATGTAGGGAGTGCGCAACGTAGCAGGTTCGTCCGCCTCCCCGCAAACTCTAGCAAGTCTCCATCCACTTCCAGCTTCACGGCACGGAAAATCTGTGATGGCAGCTTGCTTTCCATCAGGCATTTTAACTCTGCCGCTGATCAGCACGTACCTGGTCCCCCTCCTGCCCAACAGCTGCACACTGTCATACGCCGCCTCCGCCCAGCATCTCAACACGAACGCCTTTGAAATCCACTGCTTGACGCCAGATAACTTAAAAATGGCCTCAGAGTTCCACAAGAAATCCCGTTAAACTGCCGGCCATGGAATCTTCACTGTGTTGGGGTAGCAACACAAATTGTAACGGCAAAAAACCGGAATGTTTATTTGGAATTCGGTATCGCTACATAGCGAAATTATATATACTTAATCTTCAAATCACCATTCGCGCAGATCTTCCGTGTTGTGCTACTTCTGTCCTTCATATTGTGTTTCTTTTTCTTCTGAGTCCCCCCTGTTTCTGCGCAACGCTGAATCATTTGCTCTCCCTGATGTCAAGTCTGTCTCCCTCCCATTTGATGTTTTCATACTACTGAATGTCTCCCCATATACTACTGATAAATCTTATCAGTGGCACGCGCCACACTATCAATTCATACGGGAAAACACCTGCTCCACATTATATGATCCCGATAAGTTAAGCGAAATATCTTGGCACTGCATGAGGTCATTTTACAGATAAGTATATATATCAGCTGGTTAGCAGATTACGGTCTCGCTGACGATAAACTACGGCTCCTATGGTTACTCACGTATTCAGCACGCGCTTTTCGTAAAAGGTATGTTTTTTCATACCTAGAGTGAAAATACCTATTTTGTGATTTATCCGCTTCGGAAATTCGGTCTTCCTCGTCAGTAAATCTAACTAAACCATTATTTCCACATAAAATCCCCGTGTAGTATGCAAATCTCTCTTGAGTTACCGCCTCAGCTGCTAACTTTTGGCAACACGTGATCAGATATTGAGGTCTATCGCGTGACTGCTGTGGATCTGAATTATGTCAGAGTTCTAGGTGAATTCGAGTACCGATTTCATTCGTGCTTGTGGCAGCAATCCCTGCCGTGAACTTATGTTCGCTGGTCTGCAGATGACCAAAGCAGTATAATGAGAAGTATCCATGCGACCCATACGGGCTTTTATCTGTGGACTTTTTCCTGTTTATCTGTTTTAATCAGCTTTAGACTGGACGACTAAACTGCTACACAGTAAACCTCATTACATCGATTTATTGTTAGTTGGTTTCTGACTTGTGGATGGTTGTCTTCTAAAAGTGACACTTCTCTTCGACTTAACTAACTCTTACATCTATGCATATATACATTATCAAGCTAAGAATATCTTTTTTATGCAGTCATTTTGTTTGCTGTGCTTGTGTTCTTTATGAAATAGACTAGTGGAGAATGTGCTAGGTTTTAATATTCATAGTTTTTTAAATTCTCGAATGCATAAGAGTACTCGAATATATGTGTTAGATTAACGTAATAGAATGAATTAAATTCATGAGTCGGTTATAATCAGTGTGCACGTCGGAACAAAGGGGGGTATGAAGTTGCGCATAACTTCCGTAGAAACACAACAGTTATGTAGAGGTGAAATAAGGAAATTAGTAAAAATTGCACCATGACAGTTTAATTGGTCGAATAAATTCCTCTAGTATCTGGTTCTTATCCGGTTTGTATATGGCCAGATATTCAGGATTGACGTAAATGCGAAACTTGTTGTATTTGACAGGTTGTTCTTTACTCTGTGGGTATCTCTGTAGGAGGCGTCTGTTGAGACTAGACGGCGAGTTTTGGCAAGGTGTTCGATTATCATGCCCTTAATAGAATCACTACTGTCTCTAGGGAACCATGAGAGACAGTGTGCTTAAACTCTTTAAGGCAGGATATGGATTCAACTTCTGGTGCGCCTGAGCCACAGGATATATACGCTCAGAAGTAATCAGATGCGAGTTTTCCTACCTTGGAATTCTGATTATCAGCAGACAACTTCCGAAACATTACTATTAGCCTTTGTGTGACGATTGTTGTCAGCGGTGTTCACTTTTTCTTCCTAGAAACATCACAGACAAACTTTCCCTTCAAATCCAGAGACATATAAAGCTTCCTTTTGAGAAAAGTTACGTTATTTTCCTGAACCTTTAGTATTCTCAATAAATCCCACTGTTGGAGAGAGATTTCGTTCCGGAGACTTGATTCTGCTTCTTTGGCCCCGAAGCTGCAGATGCGTCGGACGCGACTGACAACAGATGTGACTGAATTTCCTTACCATTTAGCAGGCGCTCAACTATAGAAACCCGTCAACTGCCCGTTCACTGGTGGACCAGTTGACCTTTCAACATGAGTCTCCTCCAGAGTGATCACTTTAGGGTCCCGATGGTCCTTCTTGACATTTACGCATTTAAAAAGTGACCGTGCATTCGTTTTCTATCGCAAGTTAGTTAGGGTTAGTTTTATCACCAGATGTCGATCCTCTTACTGACTGAGGTCAGACTATTTTTATTTGGTTTTGTTTTCCAAGGTCACAGCTATCTTCACGAATGGTGAAGATATTATCTGCTTGCACTGTATACTGTTGTAAATTAATAACGGCTGACGTCTTAGACTGTTTGTAAGGCTTGCCATGGAACGTCCTGCCAGTAGTGGAACCAAAGAAGATCCCGTCGCAATCCCACGATTTCGTGTGTGAACGGTATCACTGAAAACAAATGGTTTTTAAAGAACACTAATCATCAGTATTTCCTCCAAATACCCTGCTGATATTTTACCGTTTAAATGGCAATAATATGTGTATTTAAATACAAGACTGGCAGTTTCCGTAAGTGCAACGTTGTTATAAATAGAATCAATGGCGGAAAATACAGTACTTATGTGTGCAGCTGATGAACTGAATAGCGTTGTGAAGCAAGCCCACGCACTTATATTTCAATAAAGCTTCCAGAATTTCAGCCAGCTACTTCGCAGTAGAATGTAGTCTATAAGTATTTCAACATGTACTTATAACCAGTCAAATCCTAATATATTCGAGTCACACTTGAATTAAATGAAACCGGTGATATTATTCATCTCTCACAGACAGTACCGCTACTCACCACTCCACGTGATACAACCACGATTATCATGTAACAGTCAGCCCAGAGTTCCAACTATCAGACTCTTCCGACGGCATCTGTTACTAGAAGCTGTGTAGTTTACCCTTTTTCTTGTGAGCTTTGAAATTACGTGGGAAACGAAATCGGCGTCTTCAACCGCACCTGTAATGATATAAACAGGAAGAATCCTTAATTCATTACTCAACTGATGTTTTTCCTTGACTAAATGTTCGGATAATCAGAAAGACTACGAAAGAAAAATCATCTAAGATAGCCGAGGCTTGAAGAGGATTTTCATAGAGATTTTAGCTTCTCATTGCGAGGGTGGACCGAATAATTCCATTACACAAAAGGGAGTAAAGAAATGTATACATACAATCACACTATAAATAAACTGGAAATACCTCTGAACTAAAAGTTCTTCATCGTTGCTTTGGAAAAGAATATACATTATAATTATTTTTCTTTCTGTGTCCCAGACACCAGGTCAAGAAGGAACTATATTTTCCACAGAATAACCTGGACTGACATGCACTTAAAATATGTGTAAAAATTGGACACTATTGTACTATGGAGTGCACAGAGGATGCCGACTTCACGAAGAAGAACGGATCTTACAAAAATGAGGCTATTTCGGTATATTATTATTCTGTGAGTTAAATCAGCAATCATAACTCGAAGAAATTGTAAAAAAGTAGGTGATACCAGTTTATCAACTTAATGTACCGAAAAAAATTTCGAGCTGTCAAAAACTCACATGAGTTGTAAATTTATCCTTATTAATAGGTAGATCTGTGAATTTAAGCAATTGATTTAAGTCATTTGATTTGATTTGTTTGTCACCTTGAAATCCACCTGAACCGACCTTAAATATTTTGGCGCTTATTTGAGACATGACTGATTTGTCGTTATTCGATCCCGTAGTTCTAGAGCATATTAATTGTCATGAGCTAGTTGAGAAGCATTTGAAAGAGAAAATTGCTCAAACTTCAGAAGTATCCGTTAAAATACGTCCGTTGTTATCATCTGATTATGGTAATACCATTCGTTCATCAAATATTGTTCAGATTATGTCACTTTGCTGGAGCAGTTAACTGTAGTTGGTAAGATAGAGAGAAGGCAGTTTGATGGTAACCGGCAATTAAAACTTATTCTCTCACAAGAAAGGTTCCTTCAGATGGCCTCCTGTCCTGATACATACTTCGTTGTTGTTCTAGTGAATGAAGCAACTGGAAGTATCATTGGAGCTGCAACACTTTTTCTTGAGTTAAAGTTTATTCACTGTTGTTCAAAGGTTAGTAAATATTTCTTTTATATTCTCTCAGAGGGGACACATTGAAGATGTTGTGGTTGACTCCAAATTTCGTGGGATGAATCTAGGGAAACTGTAAGTCCTGTCTGACACAAATACAAGAATTTTTATATTATGCAGTAGTTTATTAAGCGTGATAATTTTTGATCTGCCATTTACTAACAGTAACTTTACGCCGGAGAAGTCTTGCCGCTTTATGAACTTGCGTATACCAATACGTAAATTAGTTTTCAGACAATAAAATTTGACACTTGCAGTGTCGTCGGACTAACGTTTAATCCACTAAGCCAAAGTATCAGAATGTTTTACAACTTATTTAGCATAAGCAAGACTTCATGTACAGGTGTATAATAGGGATTAGCACATTATTAAATAGCCTTTTTTATCAAAATTAATGTAGTACTTCCATCACTTGTTTAAGCGGTGACGGCGACCTTACCAATCAATATTTAGAGTGCCGTTCGTGAATTGAAATCCCTTCCTTTGACTCATTTGATTCAAACTCCACATTATTGCTACCCAACTCGTCTATGTGCTGATTGTGGGAAGGATCACTGCCACAAGTCACACAATTTATTCAGTATTTAAGGATTGAACACTCTTGTCGCATAAAGAACAAGGAGAACTATTTCTTGCACTAACTTCAATCATAGAAATAAAACAGGTATTTCCTAAGTTAAATTTAAGACTCAAACCACTGGTTAAGTGAGTATATGATGGTAATTACGTTAGACCATAATGGTTTTCAACTATCCGATCTTCTTATTTCGCTTAGCTTATGTTTTGCAAAGTCAGGTTTCTGATGGAGTTGATCGTAGATACAGAAGATGGATGCAAACGCTTCTATCTCTACTCCCTGTAAACAATATTTTGCCGTTAGATTTCAGATATCTGATTCTCTTTATACCACGAAAACTGCCGAATAATATTGCTGAGTAAATTAGGACTCATTAGTCATACCACATCTACGAATTCGACTGTGAGTGATACAATAAGTTCATCAGAGTTTATAAGTATTGTTTTCACGGGAACTACTTTGTACCTAATGGCACTTGGAGAGGACCCTGATAGAGTTATACACCAGAGAGGAATATTAGTGCGGTTCTACCTGGATTGAATTATTTTTGCTGACTTAGACGTAAATAGTTGAGTATGACAACATGAATAAATTAATCCTACGACATATGAATGACCACTTTAAAGGACAAAAGCTTAACACAATGATAAGGGTCCTCGGAAAAATAAAGATGATATAGCATGAGAGTGACTGTTACTAGAATATTCAGAGAAACACACGAGTAGTAGTATGTAACAAGAACCATGGATACAGTTTCACCGGTCTGTTATAGTGATAGTCAAAGGTAGAAAATTAGGAAAATATGATCATTTATCCTCATATCATATTGGCTAAAACATCCATATTAAGAGATTAAAGGGATAGCATATATTAATTTTCGGAAAAACCTGTTGTACATGCTTGCTATGGTTCGCAAACTAACATACACATCGCATGAGGAAGATTTACATGTCCAATCTGCGATTTCACTTAACGTTAACCCTGACTATTTGAGGGGGAGATCAACTAGACACGGTGGTCAGTCCATTCAGCCATTGATCCTACTACTTTCGAGCATGTACTTAGTTCGAACTAATTCCTAAAAAATATCTTACAAGTGAAAATCGCGCTAGGAAGGTAGGCGAATTTCCATTCAAAACTTCGAAAAACCCCTCAGTCTTCTTATAAGAGCGATAACCATGTATCACATATCTTCTTGTGATTCCCTCGATCTCGCCTGTTTTAAACCCGGTATTATGTTCCTTTATTTATTTTCTGGCCTCATCAACTTCTGTGTTTAAGTGCGGAATTGTATGATGTGGCGAACTCAACATTCCTGTAATAATCCTTAGGTCATATTAGTTGATGCCACTTCGTCACAGAGAGAATAAATTATACTGAGGTAATTGATCATTACATGTCACTTCTCATATTGCATATCTTATCTGTCGTGTCGTTTGCAGATTTTTGTTTAATGCGTTGCTTCCCTGTTACACACCATTTCAGGCTTATCGATATCCTTATTCGTATAGGGAAACACATGGGCTGTTATAAAATATCGCTCGACTGCAGTGATGATAAAGTCGGATTTTATGAGAAACTTGGCTTCCAGTCTAAAAATAATATTATGTATATACGATTCGATGAGAATTGATGCTGTGATTTGTGTTTATGTAACGAAAAACAACTAACTGTATGATTATGTGTATGTAGCAATGAACAGTCTTTCACTATTTACTTCAATGATTCCTCAGAGAATATTTCGAATTGTTACGGTGAAGATAATGTTTTTAAATTCGGTGATTTCAATGAGACTTCAAATGAGACTCCTTCATTTTTTTTAAAAATAAAAGCACTTTTCGAAATTCAACGTTTGCTGTTTTATTTGTCATCTTAATATGCCCAGACAGCTGTCTGTTCTGCATTAGTGTCTGTCTGTGTGTGTGACATTCTATTTTGTAATGTTTACATATCAACATATAAATGATTAACTACAACGTATCACATAAGTTTGTGTAAGAAACCAACATTTTAAAAGTGTACAATAAAGTTGAAAAGAAAACAAGGCTTCTCCGTGTGGAGACAATGTTTTGAACAACATTCAAAAGTGAAACAATAAACGAATAAAGAGACTTGAAAAATATTGTCACACATTGTTGCTTGTTTGTTTATTTGACCGGGAAGGGAAAGTGCCCTTGAAATGACTTCGGTTGTAATGTGAAAGACATCTAGAGTACATGTTCGTATTTGTCTAACAACGTTCCAATGTTGCAGTCCATGAATTGAAAGGTGTCAGTACACTGTAACCATCTAAACGTGATAATTCATCACGGTGTACTTGACTTGATTGAGCCAATTTACCCACTAGAATTGCTGCGTTTCTTTTGGTGTCTAACCTTTTACTTTCCTGGAACAGAGAGATAGTAAAACGACAGTAGATTTATGCACTCATTGGATAGATATTTATGGTTCAACCAATATATTAAAATGAGAAGTTGTAGGGAGATATGAAATTCGGCTACTGATCAAAGGGGACGTGTGTACTGTGCATTGGTTTGATGTGTTTATACTGCATAGTCAAGACCCTTTCTGATTCCACTCGAGGACTTAGTTCGCGATGTTATTCGATGGTCCCCTCAGAGTATGGCTAGTCTGTCTTCATTTCCTTCCTCATATTTGTTGAGCAATCAGCACTTGGTTTGTTTTTTACCAGAATATCTTGTTGCTAATCCTTTCCGGCCATTTGGTCTTCAGTATGGGGCGAAGGCAGACATTGATAAATGTCTGTAATCTGTTGGGATTATTTGTCACAATACACCAATTTTTTGACTCATATAGAAGAAGTGAGTGACATGACAGTGGTGTTGAAAATCAGAATCTCCTTCTTTATTCTGAGGTGGGGTGTAGAAGGTTCTCAATTTGACTTCAGAATGATGAAGATGTATCTTGCCTTACCGATTTCGGCTTTGACATCTTCATCCTTTCCGCTTGTAGTTGAAACTATGCTTGCTAGATAAGTGAAGGAAGTAACCTCTGTCAAATCTCTCCCGTGATTAGCAGTGTTAGTTGTTGGTTTTTGATTGTCTTCATCACCTTCATTTTCTCTTTTATAAAATTGTAGTTCTCTCTTTGTTGCTTCTCCTACTACATTGTTTGCTTTTGCTTGTAAGTCTGTGGGTTCGAGTGACATTAGTCACAAATTATCCGCTACGTGCAGATCTTCTACAGTCTTATTATCGTTCCAGAGTATTCCTGAATTCTTGCTATCCACAGTCTGTCGCATTATCCAGTTCACAACCCTTAGGATTATCAACGGTGATAATAGTCAGGCTGCCTTTTCTTATTCCTGTCTTCATTTCGAATCTCTCGCTGAGTTTTCCGTTTTGAATCACGTGGCATTGTCACATAGCCAGCTGTAGAGTGAGGTTGATAAAGACTTGCGCACTGCACTTTATAGTGTTTAGACAGTTTGCAAATCACTTCGTAGTCAACAATGTTGGTGGCACAGTGGTTAGGACTCTCGCCGACCATGCACATGGTCCGGGGTTCGAGCCCGCATCGACGCACACCTGATATCTATGGTCGGCCTGCAAAATTTGGGCTACCGATACCCATGCTGAAAATTCCATACTTGTACCGAAAATACAGTGTGGAATCAAGCTGTAAATCAAAAAAGGTGTTTTTTTAGAGTTGATGAAGTTGATTCGTAGGCTCGACTGTTATCCTATGCTGTGTTCGATGATGCTGCGTAGAGTTGCAATTTGATCCGCACATGATTTGCCTTTCTTGAATCTACCTTTTTCTGGTTGACGGAGTTCTGTATCCAGTGCACCTTTTATTCTTTACAGAATCACACGACTCAGGATTTTACTTGGCGTGGACAAGAGCATTATTCCACGCCAGTTCTTGCAGAGTCGTAGGTCGCCCTCCTTTGGAAGCTTGACAAAGTAGCTAGCCCTTCTTCCAATCAGTAGGCACCTCTCCTTCTTTCTGAATCTTTTGCGATAATGGCGTCAGCATATCTGCCAAATATGGCAGCATATCAGCTTGACAGTATTCAAGATTTCCGCTTTCTTTGAAGGATTGGTGTCCACTGGCAGGCATCCTGTATGTGCTGTTGGTGATGGTGTATTTCTGGGTGAGTTGCAGGTGATGGTCGATTCGAGGGTCCTTTGAAGTGATCAACCCACCATTTTATTTGTTGCTCCTCCTTTGTAATTAGGTTCCGCTGGCCATTTTTGTAGATTTCATCTGTGTTGATCTTTCTTTGGATAGCGACCTGGTTATCCGACATAACGTTCTGAGATCTCTTACCTGCGTCCTGCTTGTTCTGTTTGAGTTACCAGTATGTCGCAGAACTGTCTTTTGTCTTTCTTACGACTGTTCTTCACTTCTTCATTCAGTGCGGTGTAGACTGAAGTCAGCTTGTCTTTTTGTTGCCCATCTTCGCATTGGTGCATCTTCTCTTTCACCACCCTCCTCTGCTTTCTTTTATCAGGTTCCATTTTGAAAAAAAATTACCAAATAGATTTTTTATATGATGGATTTATACTTCACCATGGTGTCTAGGTTCTGTCCTTATAATGATGTGTTTCTTTTAGTGTTTAGTCTTTCACTTCCTTGAAATGCAGAAATGGAAAAACGACGGCAGATTTAAGTACTGAGTGGATAAATGTCTGTGATCTACACATTCAACCATTGTCGTTAAATTGAAATCTGTAGAGGTGGGAGAATTCTCGATCGGTTGGCTATTATCCTGCTTGCAAATTATTTTCCCATAAATGGAAATTAAACCGCACACTTATCAGATAACCAATGATATCAAATAGGGTGACATGAGGCTTATTCGGCGGATAACTGATTGTTACTACTTTAGATTCATTCAAACAAACTACCGAGATGTTGACAGTAAAATAGTATCAGTACAGGCATGCAAATGGCTGTTGGGGTTACGTTAGACATCTGAAGTGGTTAGGCTGAATATATATACACTTATAAGTGTAGTGAAAGATATTCATCATACGCACTAACCTTAAATTCCACTGGATCAACGTACGTTTAACACTTAAGTACCGTGGTAGTATGTGATCCTTTAGCAGTTTCTGTTCGATATACCATACGATGAAACAGTGTTTCAGCAGTGAATGGTGTTTCAAAAACAATTTATTGTTCGTCATCATATGAAATGTGACACAACAAGTATGAACTGAAAATATGAAAACTATATTTCAAGTTTATGAAGTTTTATTATATATGATTGTAAACAATAACTTCCGTTAAAAACATTTTCCAGCGAAGAGAATTGTTTTGTTGTGTGGTATATGTATGAAATGAACAATGATGAGATTCCTTTAAATCATACATATTGGCATGAAATAGTGTTTTTCACTATTTGTATCTGCACTTGGTAAGTTAATTTATTTTGAGATTAATGAGAGATAATCTTAGGCTGCAAACTGATGAAATCAAGGCAATTACTTATAAACATTTACCACAAGACACTATGCGATGTTAAATAAAGCATGGGTGAATAGTTCAACAGGATACGATAAATTCATTATACTTCGTTGCATTTTTGACAGCTGTGTACAAGCTAACTATGTGGTAACAACATAAAACAAGATAATGAGTTGATGAAGAGAAAATGAATTGTTTTGCATAGCAGTATTGCTAGAAGTCGTTTCATGAAATGTCATATCAGCAATTGACTAAAAATAAGTAATTCCATAGCCTACTTATACCAGCAAATTTTCTGTCTTACACAATTTTTTTCTGCTTTTTTATTCCTTCACGTTCCCAGTGGAACATAGGGCTTCAAACTAGAGCTATCAAGTTTTGATAGCAGTGGTATTTCTTTTTACGGGATGGGATTGCTAGCCTCACACCCAACCCTCCTTCATTACCGGTCTTATTACTTGCTCAGAGAGGTAAAAGGCGCGTCGGCCGGGGATCGAACCCTGTACCATCTGCACGGTTGGTGGGAATACTACCACTATGCCACTGAGACACTGTTTTGCATAATACATTAGGCTTACCCCAATCTTATAGTTTAATCATTTAATTATGTTATCAAGTAAATTTTCAAACAGTTACCGCCATATTTTATATTTTTTTATGAGAAATCAAAGGTGTTGCAGGACTAGTGTACATTGACTCCTAGTCTAAAGATAGGGAGTGATGTGTTGAGTGTGTTGACCACTTCACACATTTTAGAAGTAACAGTGGCCCTAATAGACTCAATACTGATGATGCCCCAGTTCGAATATAAAAGGCTAGTGCGGTACTTGACTAATTATATCTTCTCTACATATATGTGAAATCCAGCTACCGACCAAAGAAAGACATGAAGAGGCTAACTATTTTTGATTGTAGATGTTTGCGTTCTGCCTCCCATGTTAGGTGGTGTAATGTCTTAAGTAATATTGATGTCAGGCGTAGAATATGAGGTAATGAGGCGAACTTAGGCCATAAGTTCGTGAAACTCTACCTATTCAGATGGTTAGGACATATGTTACACATGATAAGCCATTGCCTTCTTAGTCGAGTTTTGTTAGCTGACATAGGATTTTTCTCATACATTTACTTCCCTATAAAAATTTCAATAAAGCAAGAACAAAAATTTGTGCAGAATACTATGGTACCACCATTTATTTCGTTGGCTTCTAATCAGCTACTAACAGCCTAAATATTTTATTATTAAGTTCATGTACAAAAAAGTTTTAGAATACTTGCAAATTGTACATGATGTCAGTTTACAGGAAGCTCCGAACTCAGTGGGTAGTGCTCAGAAAATTACGCTTATAAGATTTTTACACAGAGAGTTCAAGTTTGAACAAAGTAACTGTATGCGTACAATGGTAAAGGAGTTATGTAATAAAGACGAGAGGTACGTAAGATGATGAGTAACTGATAAATTGCGTGAAATGTACTGAGTTCAACTCAAATCACAGAAACAAAAGGCAAGCAGAATTACAATGTATCAATGGAGTGAGGTTAAAGCGAAAGATTATGTAATCAGTTACCCGGTTGGCAAGAAAAGACCGATAACTGATTCTTTCTGAACACATAAATCTGGCTTCAGGCTTTTGAAAGAGATTTCTTCAGCGAAATTTATGAGAACTGAGCTTTTTTGTGTAGTGATAATTTTAAAAAATTGTATGATTTCCACTTTATGACCAATATCAAGGAGATGCCCGGTAACGGCACTATTGTAAGCGTTTTTTCCCTTGAGACACAGGCTTTCCGGTACATGTCCAGAAAATCGGAGATATACCCTTTTTTCTATTCTCCCGATGTAACTGCTCCTGCAGATACACGTAAATTGTATACACAATTGGAGTTAATAGGAGAAGGGTATATGTTGACTTTGGACTGCACCAAAGAGCATGTTATCTGATAGACAGGAAC